CTTCTCCTCATAGAGCCCTGCCTCTAATTGGGTGTTTGGTAGCATTCTTATTTTCTATGTTTTAGATACCATAGTACTACCCTAAACCCACTCCAGACCCATTTTGAGAATGAAAAATGTCTTTAAACATTGCCAAATATCCTTTGGAGGCTAAAATCACCCCTGGCTGAGAGTTACTGGCTAGACAAAGAGACAGCAGAGGAATCCTATCTAAGGGAAAAAAAAATGTGAGACTGACAGAAGCCATATTAACAAAGGCATGGTAAATGAGTTTGCTGGAATTTATCTGGCCCAGATGCAGACTTAAGGGAAAGCTGTAAAGCGTTTAGCAAGCAAGGAGCAAGCCTTCTTGTGGGCAGATCTATGTCATACTCATCATACAAAGTCTGGCAACGAACTTTTCTCTTAGTAGGAGAGACACTGAACCTGTGTTGGACAGATGGCTGGAAGAATTACAGCCCAGGTCCCATTCCCTCTGCAGACCCTCTGAGACTCTGTGGGCCATACACAGTACCCATCTTTTCCCTGCTCCTCCTACATACACAATCCAGTGGAGCCATGTTTCATCATTGCTGCTATCATGCCAGTTTCTGTGACGAGAATTAAACAGACCTTGGTTTGAAGCCTCATGGCGTTATTTAAGGCATTGAACTGCTAACTAAAAGAGTGGTAGTTTGAACCCAACAGTCACTCTGAAGGAGAAAGAAGTACAGTCTACTTTTGTAAAGGTTTACTGCCTTGGAAATTCAACTGGGCAGTTCTAACCTGTCCTTCAGAGTTGCTATGAATCTGAGTCACTCAATGGTCTCCGAATTAGGGGTTTTAGTTTGAAGCCCAGCTCTGCCACCTACTGGCTGAATGGAGAGATAGTCTGAGCTTCATCTAAACTTGAATCTCCATAGACCCTCAGACTTGGTATGAGAGTTGCATGAAATAAAATGGAGAAGCAGCTCTTCGCACTCCCAGGTAACATACCTTTTGCAATCGGGTAAATTCTGATTCACAGTAATAGAACTGCCCCACAGGGTTTCCAAAGCTGTTATCTTTACAGAAGCCAACTGTCCAGTCTTTCCTCAGGGGGGTGGCTGCTGCGTTCAAACGGCCAACCTTTTGTTTAAAAGCCAAAAGTCAACCACTGCTCCCCCCAGGGCTCCTTAACCAGGTAACATACTAGGGCAAGTGTATCATCCTGTCCACAGACAACAGACAGTCAAAATGGTCACCTGTATCATTTGATTTTGTTGTTATGTGCCATTGAGTCACCTGAGACTCATACTGACCTTGAACCCTGCTCTCTCTTGAGCCAATTTCATTGTCTCTGACACATCTACCCTCGTTAACCTAATCACTGAGTCAATCCATCTCATCCAGGGTCATCTCTTGCGCTGTCCCTCCACCCTTCCAAATATGATGTCCATCTCCAAGGATTGGTCCTTCCTTGCAAATGCCCAGAGTATAGACAGAACTTCAAAATCCTTGCCTCCAAGCAGCCTGGTTTCATTCTTCAGAACAGACTTGTTTGTTCTCTTAGCTGTCTATGGTATATTCAATGCTCTTCTCCAGCATCACAACTCAAAGGCATCAATCCTATCATCCCTAGTCATTGTTTAACTTTCTGACACATAGCAAGTAATTGCAAAGACCATGGCCTGTATCAGGTGCACCTTTGTCTCAAGACTTACATTGTTGCTCTTCAGTATTTTGGAGAGGTCCCCAACAGCATATTTTCCAAATGCAATTTGTCTCTTGATTTCCTGGCTGTTGGTACCAAGAGTGCTGATCGTGAAGCCAAGCAAACTAAAGCTGTTAACAATCTCAATCTCTGCACCATCTATCATGATGTTGCTAGTCATTTGGGTTTAGATAAAATTAAGAAACAGCTGCTAAAATCTAACTTTGCAAGTTGTATGTAGCCACTTTCTACTCTCTCATGTCTAGCATTTAAAAGATGTTTAAATGCCTTTCACCTCTATTTTAAGGTTCACAGTGCAAAGAAGCGACGATGACTTTTCTGAGTTCACCTACCACCCCTAGAATCACTAGTGCTTGGGTGTATTTATAATACCACTGCCATTTCAAGGGTTTCCCACAAAGGGGGGGGGGGTGTAGTGTCTAAGCCATGTTAGTAGGTGTGACCTTAAAAGTCTAGAACATTATTAAGAAAGGGGTTCAAGAGAGACTATGAGGAGCTGGTTGTGACCCAACTAGAGTTTTGGGGGGTTAAAAATTCTCCTCTGCCACATTGGCTACTTCTGACGCCCCTTACCCACCATGAATATGCAGACACCAACTCTGCAGGTGGGGCAGGATGGGCCAAGGGCTCAGGATTGCCTACTAGATCCCCTGCAACACATCTCACAGGCAAGAATGCTTTGTACTTATGTTTATTTCACCAACTCCTGAGAAAGATACTAAAATGGAGCTCCTTCACGCCTCCCAAGGACATTTTGAGAAGCCACTTTTGTCTCCAGTCCTCAAACTCACCTACATAGGCCCACAGTAGAGGAGGGTATCAGTGTACATGTCCGGGGCACATTAAGAGAACCTTTCGAAAGCACTGCAGTCTAACATGGTAAAACAGATAAAAGGGGCCAGGCAAATTTGTTCAAGACATAGGATGTGTTAGTAGGTGAAAATCATGTCCTTAGTGTAATCCAGTTTCTCTAGGTTAGGGTGAATGGCATTCTGGATCATGGTGGGTGGGCCACACACCAGGATAAGTGTGGACCCCCCAGGAGGAGGGAGGTGCTCCTTGATCATGTTGGCAGTAATGAAGCCCGAGTCATATATCCAGCCTGAAATGAAGCAGAAGTGGAGAAAATGCTGGAGGAGCACAGGTCACATCCCTGATGCTCAGGCCCCTGTCTTCTCTCCCCTAAGGCCAGGCAGGAGGCAGGGCTGCTCTGTGAGGCTTAAGACCACTACTTAGAAAAATCCTTTAAGTAGAAGGTTTGGGGTTTTGGCAGCCTCTGTAGTACCTACCCCAGACTTCAGGCTCCTGGGACTCTGGGGCCCCTGGAAATATTGGTGAGGCCAGAAACATTATTCAAAAGTGGGTGCAGCAAAATTTAGTTTGGAGTTTGTGAAACCACTCAGTCTGCCTTCTGCTGACCAGTGAGGATATGACAAGACTGGTACAGCTTGCTTAACATGTGGGGGCTGGGCGGTGGTGGGAGTATGACGGTTGGTGGGTTCTGGTTCAGGCTGCATCATCCATCCATGAGGACTGCTCTCTAGGTGAGGTGGGTAGTGAGGGGTGTGGTGACTATGAGCAGTGGTGGGAATGAGGGAGACACTGGCTATTCCAGGTAAAGGGTACAGTGATGGCTGTGGATCACCGTGCCATGTGCAAAAGGCATCAAGTGTGCACTGTGGCTTATTGTGCACATACCACTGCCAGTCTCATCAGTGCAGTGTGCAGATGGCTGCTGGGGTAATAGACGCCTGTCCTTAAGTGCTTTCACAAGCTGATCATACTAAATGTTCTCTTCCTCAAATTTCTACATTTCCTAAGTAGAGGCAAAGCCTAACACTTCACCTTAAACTCATTGCCACTGAGTTGATTCTGACTCATATTCAGACCCCAAACAAAACAGCAAAAGAAAACAGGCCCAGGTGCTGAGATGAGCCAAGGACGGGAGCCGGCCCACAGTGGGAACCAAGGAAATCGTACCGGTGGGAGGCCTGTCCAAGGTGTACCACAGCTTAAATTGACTTGGATGAGTTCTGGCTGTTTCTTCAAGCTCCTGTCTCACCAAGATATCCTCCTCTGTCTGTAAAAGAAGCAACATTAGACAAAGTCTTCCAGGGGCTTCCTACTTGTTCCCCGTTCTGAGAAAATCAACCAACACGTTGCCCAAACTTCCAGTCCAGTGTGAGCACCTCCCAAAGGCTTCCAGAGACAAGTGAGCTCTTCTGCTCCTCCTCTGAACAACCCTTGTACTCGTGGATGTAGGAGCTGGAAGGGTGTAAGCAACCACCCAGAGCAGGAATGACCACCCTCCGCTGGCCCATCATAGTTAGGGGTGGTTCACTCAAAGATCCTGGCCCCAGATCCCACGCTGACAGCCTGCATGGCAGACCCAGCTGAAGAAGCATAGTGCAGGCACAGGATCTTTGCAATGAGTGTTAACGGGCTAAAGCATTAATATGGTAGAATTGTACTGAAGATATAAGAAGGAAACAAAGTCAAGAGCCTTACTAATGGAAAAAAGAAAGCCAGGAGCAACTTGTCACAGGCTCAGAGAGACAGCATGGAAGGTCTGGACCTTATGAAAATATCCTGTTCAATAGATCAAAAGTGGTCAAGTGAAAGGACAAGAGTTTATTATAGTGTCATCTACAGTCACAAAAATGAAAACCAACCTGAATGTAGGGAAAGAGTTAATAGATGATGGTATAACCTGGCACGGATTAAATTTTTTTAAATAATTTTATTGAGCATTTACAGAGATTTTGGATTTCCATTCATTCATTGCTGCACTTCTCTCCCCGCCCATCCCTCCCCCACCCAGTTCACTCCTCTCTTTCAAAAGTAAAAGAAACACTTATGAAGATTTTTAATAATAAAGACAACAGCCTTGAGTGGTAGTAAAGAATGTGTATGTAACTGCAAATATATGCCAAATAAAGAAAAAAGACTGGAAATTATGTAAGAGGAATTTATCAGGGATAGAATCACAGGAGATTATTTTCCTTCTTATATTCTCTTATTTTCCAAATGTTTCTACTGAGGGCATCTCTGATTTTATAATCAGAATTTTAAAGAAAGAAGGGAAACATAATACTCAGTGTTGGCTGGGGTAACAGAAGAGTTTTTTAAAAAGCAGGGCAGGCTTGTCAGCTTCTCAGGCTGCCAGCTGCCCTATGCTGCCCACTAAGCACTGCCCCTGGCCACAAACCCCATCAGTATAAGCTCCCTGAATTCAGGAGGACTGAATGCATGGTCCCCACACAGCAAGCATTCCATCCTCCCACTGCCAGCACAAGGCTCACTCAGCAGAACTGACCTGGTTGGCAAAGATGAGGGACATCTTGGTCGTGTCCCTGGGGTTCCTGGTGATGTGGCGTATGAGCTGCAGCATGGGTGTGATCCCTAGAACATGGTGGGCAGGTCAGCTTTCACCCTGTCTCTGGTGCCAAAAGTCCTTCCCAGAAAGAGATGGCATTTTTCTTCTTGGGCCCAATGACACACTTTTCCCCCTACTGTAATCCCTAAATTTCCAAGTGGGAAACAGCCTCACATTTCAGTTTTATATCCAATGCCCTTTCTCCTTTTAATGTGCATGATGGTAGAGTAATCATTATTAGGCTTCACTCCCAGCTCATTAACTCTGCGGCTTGGAGTGAATCATTTACCTGTCTGAGCTCTTCTATGTCCTCACATGTAAAACAGAATAAAGGAGTGAATGTGATAGTTTTAGAAGTTCCCAATATACTTCTTGATGTGATCTCTTCTTTCAAGTGTTCACTTCAAGGACTGGAAAGAGTCAGGCTGAAGCTGAATCCAGGAGCCCTTGGTGGACCATGGAGGGCCCTCCCTTGCCCGACCCACAGACTTTCTCATGCTCTACACACTGCTTAAGAGGATCTTATGGCTCCCTAGAAACTGTCAAGTTGGTTGAGGGGAGCAAAGCTCACAGGATCAGCTCCAGTGAGTTCCCACCAACAATAGCCAGGGAAGGAATCACTAGGATCAAAGGACTCCAGAGTCAGGTCTCAGGGCTCACCATGTAGACAAAGCAGTCCACGCACTCCCACTCTGGTGCCGCTTACCTGTCCCCCCAGCAATCATTCCCAGGTGAAGGACCAGTTTTTTTTCAGGCTGACTTGTGTTGTCTGTTCTGACTTCAAGATTTCCTGGAAACACAAAGGCCTCCTGTGACTTTTGTAGCCCTTCCCTGAGAGCCAATCAAAGAGCTCAGCCTTTTCTGGGAGTTCTCAGAGTTCAGTCTGCCCGTGCAGCTGGCTGTACCACTTTAAGCCAAGAAGCAGGCAAGGCTGGTGAGGCCCTGATGCACAAGGTCTCCTAAGGGGATTGTTGGATTTTTTTTTCTTATAAGAGAAAGGTAAGCTAACACTGATATGAGCTCTCACACACTTGTAACATTGAGTGAGTAAAAATGTGCAGCACAAGAGAAAATATATGAGTATGGAACCATCCATTTTTCAGTATTGTTAGGAGCCTCTTCTGGTTAAGCACTATGGTAGATGTACAGTGATCATGCCTCTACTATAATGACACTCTCATGAAGAATGTGTGAATCTGTGAGCATATGAATAAAAATTTTAAAGACAAAGCCCATGACTAAGATTGAAAAAGTTTTCTAAATCAATTAAACTACTCCAGGAATATTTTCCTATCTAGATGGAGCCCCAGTCGGTACCTGGACCATGGTAGAACAGGCGTCCAGATGGCCCTCGAAAAAGGATGGTGTCCCCTATTTTCATGTTTTCCAAGTATTGAGTCATCTTCCCCCCTTCAGGATAGTTGGGGTGTACATTTTTGAAGTAGATCTGAAAGACAAGGTTGCATACTTACTCCAGTCCTCTCAGATTTGAGGTGATAGCCACACACAACTTGAAAATGCATTTGTCACTGATAATTCTGTCTATAAGCCCTCTGAACTCAAAGTTGTTTCAAATAATCCAGCTGGAAAATTCTGTACCACGAATGTGTTCCTCACAGAAGACACTGTGCTCCCCACTTTGCTGTCCCTCGACCCTCAACAGGTTCCAGGAGCTTGAAGCAGCTGAGACACTAATGATCATTTACCTTTATAATTAAGTCCACGAAGCCTTGGTCGTCATCACAGGAGACAGGGGTATAAGCCCTGATCACTAAATCGTCATCAATTTTGGCTATGAGATGGACATAGTTACCTATAGAAAAGACAGCAAGTGTAAGTCTGAGTATGGACAGTCTAAGGAGGACATACAATGCCATAAAGAGTGAAATTCAATGGAGTGAGCACATGAAACAGGACCAAGTTCAGGATGTCTGGGTTCCAGGCCTGGCCTTGTCAGTCAGTACATGACGCTGGACAAATCATTTTACCTCTCTGGGTCTTAGTCTATTCATATGTAAAGTACTCACTCTGCTTCAGTCACAGGTAACTAAAGTTGGAAGGTTAAAAGCTCACCACCATTGAGTCAATCCTGACTCACAGTGACCCTATAACACAGAGTAACACTGCAAACAGGTTCTCAAGGGCTAGAAGCAGACTGTCTCATTTTTCTCCCACGGAATAGCTTATGGCTTCAAAATGACCTTTTGATTTAGCTGAATTCTTGAACCATTGTGCACCAGCGTTCATTATTTAGAAGGTTTTAAAATTACAGAAAAGAATGTTTTCTTACTAAGCAAAAGGCTTTAGGCCTTTTGTTCACAGGGTCGCTATGAGTCGTGCTTGACTTGAAAGCAATCAACAAAAACAACAACAAAATACATTGTTTTAACAAACTCACAAGTTAGAAATATCACTGTGGTCTCTGAAAAATCACAAATACCTCATTTGTATCCAAGTACCTGGCACTCAAGAGTCCTGGGTTCATATATATTGCAAGGCCACTGGGATTGGATACACAAAGCCCAGGAGTTCTAGAAGTATAATTGTATATTCCTGGGCCACAGCACTTTCCAGGGGCAGCAGTGAACTGGTGAAGTTGTCTTTACAATACAGAAGTGATTGGTCCAGGTATAGGCAGAAACTTAGGACTTCTGATAATATTCTGTTATCAAATGATGGGCTAGGCTTCCCAGACTTCTCTTGGATCTCAAGTGGAAGGCTTAAGTGACTAAGGGCAGAAGTTGCAGTCTAAAATGCAAAGAGCTAGAGGCAAGAGAAAGCTTGTTAGAATTTCCAAGGGAGTTGTTGATTGCCTTTGAGTCTAGCACAACTCATAGTGACTCTATGAACAAAAGGCCTGAAGCCCCTCTACAACTATCGACATTTATCAAAGTTCATAGAGTTTTTCGGAGGCATGTTGTTTAGGAAGTGAATGCCACACCTGCTACCAAACCTGTCATAGTATGTTACTGTTTTTATGTGCCGTTGAGTCACCTGCAATGTATAGCGACCCTATGTACAGCAGCTCTGAACCCTTTCCTGTCCTGAACTGGTCTCATCAACCCCCATCACCCCAGTCACTGTTATCAATCTATCTCATCTGGGGTCTTCCTCTACCCTTCCAAGCACGATGTCCTTCTTCAAGGACTGATTTCTCCTGGCCACGTGCCAAAAGTGTGTGAGACAGAGCTTCAAAATCCTAGCCTCCAAGGAGAGACTTGGGTTCACCTTCTCCAAGACAGATCTGTTTGTTTTCTAGGCAGTCCGTGGTATGTTCAAGACTCTTCTTCAGCACCACAACTCAAAGGCATGTATTTTCTTCTGTCATCCTTAGTCATTGTCTAACTCTTTGAAGCAGACTATGGCCTGGATTAGGTGCACCTTTGTATTTAGACTGACATCTTTTCTCTTTAGCACTCTGGAGAGTTCCATGACAGCAATTTTCCCAATGCAATTCGTCTTTTGATTTCCTGACTGCTGGTGTTGATTATGGATCCAAGCAAGCTGTAATTGCTAACAACCTCAATCTCTTCTCTATCTTTATGGTGCTGGCAACTGGCCCAGTGGTATGAATCTTTGTTTTCTTGATGTTGAGCTTCAATCCATATTGAAGACTACAGTCCTTGACCTTCTACAGCAAGTGCTTCAGGTATTCTTCAGAAACTGTAAACGCAGGGGATTGGAAGAGAAAGATGGAGCAGATGTGCAAAAAGAAGAGAGACTTAAGAGAGATAGAGATTAGGAAGGTAGAAAACTTGCAGGAGAGTATAGAAGTACAGTTCTTGAGGTTGTGTTAGGGACATAAGCTGAAGACTTAGAGGAAATCTTAAAGCCTAAGAGAGAGTGAACCCAAGTTGCTCTTTGACTGCTAGGCTTTTGAAGCTCTATCTCACATACTTTGGGCATGTTGCCAGGAGGGACTAGTCCCTAGAGAAGGACATAGTGCTTAGAAGGGTGGAGGGAAAACAGAGGAGAGGAAGACCCAGGATGAGACTGATTGGTACAATGACTGAGGTATGTGGGGGCAGGTGTGTCAAAGATAGTGGGATTGGCTCAGAATAGTACAGAGTTCAGAGCTATTATACTCACAGGTGACTCAGCAGCTTATAACAACAACAACAAAGGCACAAATACTCTGTACTAGGAAGTCAGGCTCAATGATTTTGGCTGCCCATTAGGGATCTCCAAGAATAAATTCCTGGAGCAGATTCTCTCTGAATATGGAATGAGAAACTTGGAAAGGCTCTTTCAGATGCAGCCAACCCAGACCTGACCTGGCTTCATCACCAGAGAACTTGGTCTACACTGGCTGATTTCTCAGGTCCCATCTCTGAACCCTCACAACAGACTCCCAGAAGCTTCTAACTTAACTTGCCCCAACTATCTTTGTACTAAGTTACACCAGGACTGAGGAGAGAATGGACCAAGGTATAGTCCAAGAAATGCCCTATCTCAAAATGTTTCACTCTTCTGGGTTTCTTGCCAGCAGGCCTGGCCCCACAGTCCTGGGATGGGACTAGAAAGAGGCTGACACTGAGCAATCACAGATGTAAAGACAGAAAGGAAGCAGCAAAGAGGCTCCAGGACCAGCTGGCTGCTCCAGGTATAATTTCACCACCTGATATAAGTGAGGTGGAGGAAACATCTGTGTCTAAAGCAAGTAGGCTGTGTGGATTAGCTCACTACCAGGCAGGCAAGACACAGAAGCAGCTGATACAAAGCTTCTTTGAACCCAACACTCTGGGTTTAATGATTTTCTACCTCATTAAGATTGTTTTTAATCATTTGGTGATGCTACAAACTAGAAATGGAATAATTCTTAAATTCTAGGGTTGATTTCCACAAAAAAGACTCCTTACAAGAGTCTAAGATCTCTGCAGAGAAACCACATGGTGGGGGGAGAAGATGTGTTAGCCTGCAGAATTGTAAGAAAAAGACGAATTGCACTAGGAAAATCTGCAGTCAGAGACCTCTCTAGAGTATTGAGAAGCAACAATGCCAGTCTAGAGACTAAGCTGTGCCTGATCCAGGCCATGGTCTTCACAATTACTTGCTGTACCTCAGAGAGCTGGACAATGACTAAAGATGACAGAAGAACTGATGCTTTTGAGTTGTGGTGCTAGAAAATAGTAATGAACATACCATGCACCACCAAGAGAAAAAACAGGTTTGCCTTGGAGAGGGTGAAACCAAGTTTTTCCATGGAGGTAGGATTTTTGAAGCTCCATCTCACATACTTTGAACACGTGGCCAGAAAGAACTGGTCCTTGGAGAAGGATATTATGCTTGGACGGGTGGAAGGACAGTTCAACAGAAGACCCTGGAGGAGATGGATTAACACAGTAACTGGAGTACTGGGGGTAGGCGTGTTAGAGTCAGTGAGACTGCCTCAGGATAGGGCAGGCTTCAGAGCTGTTGTGTATCTGGTTTCTACAAGTGGCAGGCGACTCGGCGGCACTTAACAACACCGCCATCACCTGGGAGATGCTCAGCCCTTAGAATAATCAATCTTACTAGATCATAGAGAAGCATTTGCCCAAGGAAAAAACTCATAAGGCAGGAAGCAAAAGGCTGGTAAGATGAATGCAAGTAACAATCGCAGAGAGATAGTGGGAAAAGTGATGATACAATGTGGAAATTGTAGTTAGTGTCTTAAAATAATATACAAATAAAAAAAGCTTATTTAAAGTCAAACATTTGTGGTGTTTGTATTAACACCAACACTAAGAGACTAAGACCTCTTCTGTGTGCACTGCATTTTTCAGTTTCTAGATTTTCATATCCATCACCGATTTTCCACTCATTCAAGGATCTGGGAAACTCAGGACCAAGAACCTCAGTTCTCTGAGGCTCAGAGAAGTTGACAGGCTTGTCTAAAGTTACCCGGCAAGGGGTCTGAGGTGAGATCTCTGCCCTTCTGTTTCTAGGGTCAATCCTGACTCTAAGTTCATTGAGGAATCAAATTTAGGTGGGGCTAAAGTGAACAATGAGAAAAGGGAATGTACCACCGCCTTCCTTTTCACCCCATCCATGGAAGTGTGTCATGGCAATATCCATACCTCAGCTAGGTGTTTAGCTAGGAGATGAGCGCCCAGCCTCAGAAAGGCTCTAAGCCCGATAAGGACATCACATTTCACTCACCTATTGGGAGGCCCAAGACATGGTCTGTTGAGGGCAGTCCAAAGCGAAACTTCCTGGTGTTATGGTTGATTTGCTATCAAGACAGAAAGCACAGAGTATGGCTCAGTCAGCTCTCTAAACGCCTTGCTAAGCAGAAAAACAGCTTCATTTAGTATTACCCCAACACACAACTACTGGGGTTGTAGGGAGCAAATATGAAGCCATGAAATGTCTTAACTGCCCCGCCTTCCCAGCCACCATATTCCCCATCACTCAACCCCTGCTGACAGGGGACAGGGTGCACCAATCCATTACCTCTTTTTCAATTAAGGGCAGAGGGTACTTGGTTTCAGGGTTCTGTAAAGTGATAAGCTTTTTTCTTGAGTTCTTGTTCCTCAAGGCCAACATGAGCACCGTCACGCCAATGATGGTGATGGCGAGGAGCAGGGTTGGGTCCTGAACAGATACAATGTGAGCAGAGCAGCTTGGGTCTTACCCACCCTCCCCACACCAGAGGCACAGGAGCAGCTGAAGGGTTCCTGAAAGGAACCAGCCAGAAGGAAAGGTACTAAAGCAGAAGGCAGGTGAGCCCGAGGGAACAGAGATGGAAGAGTCAGGCTCCTTGGACCAGGCCAGGCAGTTGGGCAGCCACATCCCTTTCGGCCTATCAGCCTTCATCTAGGCTACACAGAAAAGAATCCCTCCTTGAAATGGAAGAGCTCTGGGGGTCAAATGGTAAGGCGCTGCACGGCCAACCCAAAGGTATGCAGTTTGAACCCAGCAGCTGCTCCACTGGAGAAGGCTGGGGAGTTTCCTCCCATATGATTTACTGCTTCTGAAAACCCTCTGGGGGCGGGGGCGTCAGCTATGGTCAGGCTCAACCCGATGATACACAACAATCTTGAAATAGAAGTGGTAAGAGCCAATTGTTTGTTCTAACATCACTGTTTCTAAAAGTGGAGTCCTCAGCCCCTAAGGGAAAAACTTGGCTATAGGGTGTGGCATGGCCACCTGTCCCCCCAAGGTGGCTGAGAGCATGGCTGGAGACAGGCTCACCTCTCCCTACTCTCCCTACTCAAGCTTGGCTAAACTAGGGGTAAGGGGAGTAGCTCCTACTAGGGGGTGATCTCTGACTTTAACACCTCTTTTATATCAAAACCCTCCAAAGGAGGCGAAGGAAGCCTGGGCATTCACCTGCCAGCGGCTTGGCCAGGTTCCCGAGCCCCAGCCACCCAGCTCCCATAGTCTTATTTCCCGACCCTTTATTGACCCGATCTAGGACAGATATAAAAAACAACAACAAAACCCGTCCATCCCGCCCTTTCCTTACGATGGGGTCCAGTTACCCTTTCACCTTCCTTTCTCCAAATCCTGCTCCCAGCTCCTCACCCAGGTAGGTGTGTCTCCAGGATCGACTGGGCACCCATCAGCCCCTCGCGCTCGGTCTCCCCAGCCCGCCTCCGTGCGACCCCACCGAGTCCTCCACCCTTCCACCTTCGGCGAAACCCACCCGGAATGACATGTAGAACATGCCGTCGAGCTGCGCCTGGCGGCGGAGGCCGGTGCGCGGCGGCGGAGGCGGTGCGCGTCTCTGTCTCTCGGGCCGGCCGCCCGGTGTGCGCTGCCCTGCAGCTCCGCCTGGCGGTCGGGCGCGCCTTGCTCACTCAGGCGCCCTCGGAGAGGAGCAGGACGGCGGCCGCAGCCCCATCCACCCGGCCGCTCCTTACACGCCGCCCCGCGGGTGGCCAGGAGCGAAGGAGGTTCTCTTTCCGGTGAGTTGGACCCACTGCCAGCCCTGCCTCAGGGAAGCGCTGATTCAGGGGCGTCGGCAGCCTGGAGAAGCCCGGCGGAGAGCCAGGGCGTCGAAGTTCCTGGAGAAACAGCCCCTTTATAACACCAGGCCCCCTCTCTGCCCTGGTCCGCTCCCGACACTCGCAGAGCAGCCATGGCTGCGCCTCCCGTTTACTTGTGTAACGGTGACAGTGAGAGAAAAAGTGACGAGAAGGCAGTGCCGGTCAAGGAAACGGGAATCCCGGTCAGCTCTGAGAGCACAGTAATGAGCTCCCACGCCGAACCTGGCCCGGGGCAGGCGCTGTGGGAGTGCGGACTGGGGACGTAATGGAGTTAAGGAAGCCCAGATAGCGCTCATTCATTCTTCCACTCACTCACGATCGATCGGTGGAGAGAAGTGACAAGTACCAACACTGATGCTGACCCCGGTCCGACGGGAGGCGGTTAGGTGGTTTCCTCACGGTGCCTTTCAGAACCTCGATACCCCCTCCCCCCAGCAGTTCTCGGATGGCCGGGCGCCTCCTCGCCCGGGTGAAACCGATTCGCCTCAACCCCCCAACCACACCCCTCCGCCGGCACGCGCGCGGTGGACGCCTCCCCAGAACACCTGCAGGTGCGGAAGATTGGGCATTGCGTAAAGTTTTAACTATCTAGTGAGTAGGAAGCGAAGTTCTTCGTAACTTAATTTGCTTTTCTGAATTGCTGAACCTTTGGTGCCCTAGTGGCAAAAAGCGGCACTGCTATCCCGAAGTCACGTGGTTCAAGGCCTCCTGCTGCTCCGTGGGAGAAGGATGGGCAATCTCCTCCCGTGCAATTAACAGCCTCTGAAAACCCGCTGGAGGGTCCTCTATGGGTCGGTTCTGACTCGACAGTACACAACAACATAACAATTGCTAATGAGGATGAGCGTCTTGCTTGTGTGCATTTTTTTTAGCTGAGTCCTCTTTTTTGTGGGGAAAAAAAGCTTATCCATAATTGCTTGCTTTTTTACTTGTCTTTTGAGTTTTTGCAGCCATATATATGTAGTCAAGCTAAAGAAAACATATATTCATATATATATATATATATAAATACATTCTTCAGTGGCACTAAATGTTGCTATTTTTGTTTTATATGTATATTTTTAGATATAATATTTTTCCTCTCAGTGTGAAATTTTTCTTTTTTAATGTCTTGATATAAATTGATACTTATAATGTGAATAGAATTTTATTATTGTATAAATTTATAATTGATAATCTGTCTTTATGGACTGTTCTCTTTATGTCTTGCCCATCCTTATCAAAAGTCATAAATATATTTTATATTTCTTTGACAAGATTTTAATTTTCCTTTCACCTTTAAGTCTCTCAACTATCTGGAATTTATTTCTGTCTGTGATATGAGTAAGGATCCAATGTCTCTCTTTTCATGTAGATAATATATTTCTGTAGCTTTTATTTAGCCATTCCTATCTGGCCACTAGCCTGCCCTGCCACTTCTGAGATATATCAATTTTCATTTATTAGTGAGTCTTGCTCTGTCTTTGCTATTCTCTTACATTTATTTAGTTTCTTAGATCTGTGCCAATACCACATTATTCTAATTATAACAGTTTAAACAAGTGTTTTTATCTTTCACTCTTTCAAATATAACTCCCTGAGAGATGTCTTCTCCAATCTCCCTATTATAATTACACCTACACATTACATTCTATTCATAGCTGTTATTTCAGTTTGTAATATACCCCTTGAATATTCATTTATTGAAAGACTGACTTGTGCTGCTCCAAAAGTTTAATTAATGCAGAGACCCTGTTTCGTACAGCTTATCACAATCACCTGGGAGCTCAGCTAGCATAGGTCTTCAGGAGGTGCACTGCTAACGCAAAGGCCAAGCACCTCTGCTGATTTGAATCCACCAGCCACTGCTTGGGAGAAAGAAGGGTAACCTCCTCTTTTGTGATTTACAGCCTCGGAAATCCCCTGGGAGGTCAATTATGAGTAGGTTCCCATTTGATAACTATAAATGAGTGAGTGACTATATCATGATTACCCTAACACAGGCAATATTAAATAATATTCCATATATATTTAGAGTAAATTAATGACAAAATGAATTAAAATGACCTGTGCCCTGCAACGTACTGTACACTGTTAGATATGTATTAACCTTTTTGTCAGTACTCTGTCCCCTTTTCTTGAAAGTTATTGACAAGAATATTATCTCTAAATGACATGCATACTTTATCTGTTTTTGTTTTCTTTCTTTTTGAGTGTTTTAAAGAAAATAAAATGTATTTTATTTGTTTACCATCTATTTCTGTTAGGTGGACTATAGTGGTATAGTCCCTAGGGAATTGCACAGCTAATCCAAAGGCGGTATCTCTTTGGTGTTCAAATCCACCAGCAGTTCTGCTGGAGGTCAACTATGAGTTGGTTCTAATTATATAACAATTAGTACTTTTTTAGTTGATTTCCACTAGACTAGGAGTTCTGTGAGCGCAGGAATTGTGTTTTAATTAAATGTGTGTAGCTGTGTCAGGAAAGTGTCTAGAAATTGATAAATGCTCAATAAATATTTATTGTGAAAAATGTATGAATAACTTAATAAGCTACATTTTCTACTTGTGAGCCTTGATTTTGGCTTTAAGATCTAGAGGCATCTCCCCTTTTTTTGCTGAGTTTTTCTTAGTAGTTTATTTCTAACTTCCATTTCCTCTTTGCATTTCCCCACCTGGCATTTCCTTTAAGGGTACCAGAGAGGCAAGTGGCAAATCTTTATTAATCCTTAGGAGCAAAATAAGCCCGTTTTATCTTGCTCCTGAAGGTGAATATATCTTATAATTATGGCCTGATGGTAGAATGTACACTGCAGTCCTGGAGGCATGCAGTTTAAATCCGCCAGCTGCTCTGTGGGAGAAGGATGGGCACTCTCCTCCCATGTGATTAATTGTCTCAGGAGGGTCAGCTATGGGTCGGTTCTGACTCAATGGGACTCAGCAACAACAACAATTAAGATATAAGCTAAGACTAGGCGCTCAATAATTTTAAGAGAGCAGTGATTCCCCTCTATTCCCAGCTCTTTATGTATGATCATCACATACATATATCCTGCCTGGATTTGGGTTCATTTTCTACTATTCTTTTTAATCTTTTGAAAGAAACTGAGAACTTGTGTTCTTGAAATCCTCAACTTGATAACAAGGTCTGGCAAAGAGCAGACCCTTAGCAACTTTTGATTAAAGAAAAAAATGAGTGAATGTCGATTGTTTTCCCTGTTTGAGTATAGATATGACGCCCCCCCCCCCAGCGTAAATGTCTCCTGTGAAGGCATCATGTCTCCTTAACTTCTGAATCTTTCCTGAGGGAGTCATTGCCCTGTCCAAGTCAGTGAAGTTTGCACTATAAACAATGTTCAGGCTGCTGTGGGCTTTTTCTTAGACTTTTAATCTTGAAAATGATTTCTTTCCATTTTATCCTATGAGCAAATTGATCCTGGCTATTAGGCCTAAAACATAGCTGGCTGAATAATGTCCCACCCCAAAAAAAATCCACATCCTAACCTCTCCAATCTGTGAGTGTTGGTTTGATACACAAAGGGACTTTGCAGGTGTGATTAAATTAAGGATGAGGAATTGATCCTGGGTTTCTGGTTGGGCCAAATGCAATTACACAGTCCTTATAAAAAGGGACATAGGAGGAGGTGATGTGATGAAAGAAGATTAGAAAGATGAACCCTAAAGATGGAGAAAAGGACCCAAAACAAGGAATGGGGGTGGCATCTAGAAACCAAAAAGGCAAAGGATGGGGTTCTCGCTTCAATGCTTCTAGAAAGAACCAACCCTGCCTAAAATTTATTTTTTTGCCCACTGGAATAGATTTCAGACTTTTAAGCATCCAGAAATATTAAGAGAATAAATTTGTGTTGTAGATATATATAT